CCTCTGCAGACGGGCGGCACAGAGCCGCCCTGGGAAGCGGCGAATCAGGGCCGCGGCAACCCCATGCTATGGCCCAATCCTCCTTTTTGCCGCCCTGAAAAGAGCAGCAAAATGCCGCTCCTTTTGGGGGCAGCAAAAGGCTGCCCTAACAGCTGGCGGTGCAGCTCTTCAGCGCCCTTTCGGCACAGCCCCAGGCCGGTCCTGCTGCTGCCGCCGCCGCTACCCACCATGATGATATTGAGGGCATCGGGGTGGGGTTGGGGTGGTTGGCATGCGGTTGCCATGCCCCACCTCTACTCCCAGGCTGGTCCTTTGGGCCGGTCTGCATCCTGACTGAAAAAAGAAGTAGTAGCATCATTTTCTGTAGACTTGGTTTAGTTCCTCAGATGCATGGAGTGAACTGGCGACCACGAAGGACCTTTATAATCAGACAGTATGAAACAGCCATAAAAATGCAAAACTTGTAGGTATGGTGATGAGGTGATAGGTTTAGTTTTAACCATGGTCATTGAGAGACAAAGGCAGGAGGAAAGATGTTGCCTAAGGCCCGGGTGGGTGACCATATGAATGGTGGAGGGAGTTCTGGTATGTGGTGCATGCAGGCTAGGAACCAGAAAGATGTGATAAACTGGCCAAGAGCATCCCCATGAGGCCGGGATGTTACTAGTGTTATAATATGTGTAGTGTGCTAGGAAGCGATTGTGTCTGAATTCTGGACCCACAGTGTCTGTATTCTCAGTAAAGGTTTAAAATAAAGCCTATTCTTCTTGGATACTTGACATGGCATTGCAAAACAGCCCTGTATTTTTAGGCTGGCTATTCCAGTTGCTTTTTTTAAATGCAACACAGAAACTACAGTACTGTTATCACTACAGGTCAGTCACACTTTTAAGTAAAGAGAGCCATAAAATCCAGCTTCATGAACCAAGAGCCATGATACACAGCTTAGTTAACCGGAAAGCAACATTTTAGTAGGAAGTAAAAATGATATGCTAGGATCCTTTTTGTCTTTGGATTCTTAGAACATATCTCCAGAAATGTGTAGCCGTCATAATAGATAACAGCCACAAATGTATCGTTTGGTATATTTGTTGACAGCTCAAGCGTGACAAGTATTAGCTCAGCTTTTATTTCATAAAACTAACTCACTCTAGGCTGGCATTTTTCCTAAAAAGCATTGCAGGGAGCTAAAATTAGATTCCTTTATGGTTCTCCAGAAGGTCAAGGAGGTGGGAGGTGGACTTAAAGCGGTTAAGAACACCATTTTGAACACGAGAGTATGAATAGACATTTTAAAACTCGGCTTTTAACTAATGGATGGTATTTCAAAGGTGCTGACAAGTGTGAATTACCCCAAGGTGCTGACTGTGATAGGAGAATATAGCCAGTCTCCTGGAAACGGCATTTTGTCATTCTTCCAAATGAGAGAGAGAGAGAGAGAGAGAGAGAGAGAGATCTGACTTGCAGAGAACTGTTAAAATCATTACCAAGGTTATTTGGACATAATTCACATTACTATATTATTAGCAACATTCCTTCTAAGCATTAGGTATACTTGTATAAAACTGTGAAATTCTCTTTTGATGTTGTATTTCTGGGTCTCTTTTGACTAAAAGCATTTTTCCTTGATTTTTGGAATTGTTCCCAACAAAGAAATCAGAATATTTTTATTAGAATATATCATTTATATAATTCACTTGGAAATTGTCGTAGGTTTGTTCCTGGTGTGTGCATTTTAACTATCTAATTTTTATGGTGTGAGCAGGAGTGGTGTAGTGATTTGAGTGTTGGACTAGGGCTGCATCCACACTGCAGAAATAATCCAGGTTGACACCGCCATTATATTATTATTATTATTATTATTATTATTATTATTATTATTATTATTATTATTATTAATTTCTAAAGCCACACACAAGCCATGGCTCAATGCTATGGAATTCTGGGGATTGTAGTTTGTTGTGGCACCAGGGCTACCTGACAGAGAAGGCTATTGTTTTTGGAGTGCAAATGCAGCCTAGGATTCTGGGAAACCAGAGCTCAAATCCCTGCTCAGCCATAGAAACCCAATTGGGTGTCCATGCGCTCTCTTGTAATGCATTCCTTCCCCCAGTAATTGTGATCTTACTGCCTTTCATTGGAATTGCAACTCAACAGACTATGGAACGACCTGCCGGATGAGATCCGTCAATTGACATCTTTGGACAGCTTCAAGAAGGCTGTTAAGACGGATCTCTTCCGGCAGGCCTTTCCAGAATAGATTACCCCGGCCTCGGGAATTTCCCCTCCCCCAGGAGAGTCCCCACAGCCTGCCTTGTTAATGGATCTGAATGTCGCTGTGGATTTACTGTTACTGTTACTGTTTTTATTGTGTTATTCATTGTCCAATTGTTGTTTTAATCTGTAATGTGATTTAATAATTTTTTAAGGAGAGAGAGGAATATACTGTTTTACTTGGCATGATGTTTTAATGTTGTTAATCGCCCTGATTGGGTTACCAAAGGGCGGTATATAAATATTATTATTATTATTATTATTATTATTATTATTATTATTATTATTATTATTATTATTATTATTATTATTACAAGAGATAGCATTGCTCCTTTTGCAGTGTGACTGTAGCATTAGGTACCTTGAGAGTTACAGGGATTAAGGGCCTTTACAGACTGCCAGAAGTAATGCAGCTTGAGGCCACTTTAACTGCCCTGGCTCAGTGCTAAGGAATCATGGGAACTGTAGTTTATTGCGGCACCAGAGCTCTCTGGCAGAGAAAGCTCAATGTCCCAGAAAAAAATACAATTCCCATGAATCCCTAGCACTGAGCCAGGACAGTTCAAGTGGCCTCAAGGTGCATTATTTCTGGCAGGCCCTAAATGGTGGAGAAGGAATTTTGCATGGTTCAGATGCTAGCTTGAGTTCTCTTTTCTGCGTGGAGCTGACAACCAGATAGATGGGAGGAGACAGTATTTTCTACCACTGACTGGTGTTTTGTAGCATTCAAAGGTTTTATTTTTAAAAAAAATAAGCTACAGTAGGACCTTGGTATGCGCTGGGATTTAGTTTCAGCCCCCCCCCCCCCCCCCGTGGATACCAAAAATCCATGGATGCTCAAGTCCCATTAAATACAATGGCATAGTAAAATGGTATACCTAGTATAAAATGGCAAAATCGAGGTTTGCTTTTTGGAATTTATGTATTTTTTAAAAATATTGTCTAACAGTGGATGGTTGAATCCATGGATAAAGAATCAATGGATATAAAGGGTTGACTTTACTTTTTAATAATGGCATGTGACTACTTTGGAAGTCTTTAAAACTATAACTGTAACTAATAGCTTGTCTAAAGTGTCTGAGTGCTGGGTTTTAGAACATCACAAAATGATAATCTAATAGATTTTTTTAAAAAGAGGAGACAATGTTGTTATGTGTTTGGTCATTTTATGAATGCACTTACTGATATCAAAACGGAAACCTATGAATGGTTAGGAATCTTTAGCTAAAGAAAAGTGTTTCTTAGCAAATAGATATGTTTTCTGTTCTTGATGTTCTGGAATATCCAATCTTGGCAAGGAAGGTTAAGTTACTTCTCGAGCTAGTAAAGAAACCTTCTGAACACATATTTGCCTTTTCACTTTTCATTTTCCTCCTCCCCTGTATATGGGAATGAGAGAGTGGGGAGGAGAGGAGAGAAAGCAATTGAGATTTAGCTGAAGCTGGCTTAAAGATAGATGGAGCCTTTGGGAATGAAACAGTAGTTCCCTTGGAATTGGCTGCAGAATAATAGGCTGCTGTACTATCTGCTTCAAGAGTCTGTTTGGTTTCACTACAATTTCCTTGTATTCACTGTAAACAAACCAAACAAACCCAATGCTCCCACCTCTTATTATTAGGATAACCATACATTTCTTACTCCGTCTTATCTAAAGTAAATTAAACTCTGCACTGCAACCGTCCTTTTCTTTGTCTGGTCACGGTTCAGTCCGTAGGTACTGGACTCAGTTGTTGTGTGCCTTCAAGTCATTTCTGACTTATGGCAACTCCACAGCAAACTTATCACAGGGTTTTCTGGCAATAACTTTATTCAAAGTGGGCTTGCCTTTGCCTTCCTCTGAGGCTGAGAGGGTGTGACCTGGTCCAGGTTGTCCATTGGGTTTCCATGGCTGAGTGGAAACTCAAACTCTGGTCTCCAGAGTCATAGTCCAATGTTCAAACCACTACAATAACCCTGGGTCTCTGGGAATCAGTTAGCTCAGCAAAAACTGAGAATCTGCCAGGGGCTCTTTAGTCTCAGCTGCTTTACAAACAGTTTTCTCACTTTGAACTTGCCTCTACAATTGCTTTTTAAAATTGCTGTGTTTCAGGGATCAGGCTAAAATCTCAGGATATTTCCAGTCTCCAAGCAGGGAGACAACTGTCAGGAACAAGAGGTTCTGGAAGAAGAGAAATGCTAGATTTTGCATCCATCTCTAGGCGTTCCTAACTAGGGCTGCCAGAGTGAAAACTGGAGATGGGACCTGTACTTGTAATGTTTGTGTAGAAAAGCTAATGACCATCACATGCTGACATTCATTCTTCTACACAACTATTAAATGTATAGGAGCCAGTTTTGAGTCTGGTGATCCTGTTACTGGTGTCTGGGCTTGCTGGCACAGCATAGAGGTGTTTATATGTCTGTTGTTCATGTGTAATGCTGGTACACCAAAAAGCCAAGATTGAGGAAGAGAGGACTGGAGTGAGAGGTGCTGGGTGGGTGCAATTGGGCCCAATGTGCCATGGGGAGCAAGACAGGGAGTTGTGTTCCAGTGTTGTGCCCCGAGCCTTGCATTATTATTGTTGCTTGCCTTCTGGTTGTTCCTGATTTATGGCAACCCTAAGGCAAACATAACCCTAACGGGAACCTATCATGGGGGTTTCTCAGCAAGATTTGTTTCAGAGGCCTTTGCCTTTCTCTGATGTTGAGAATAGATGGCTTGCCCAAGGCCGCCCAACAGATTTCCATGGCTGAACAGGGATTCAAACCCTGGTCCCCAGAGTCAAAGTTCAGTGCCCAAACCACTACACTACACTGGCTTTCAGTAGTGGTACAGAGCCTAGAAAAGGTCCTCAAGTGCTGCCAGCCATCCACGAGCCCCTGAAGCTGTGTAGAGTCTGGGAAAACTACATGCCATGTGTACTGTAGATAAGGTCACACATAGGGTGTAAGACCTAGTGGGAAGGTCAGCAAGTACTGCAGCTCTGAGATCTATTTTGCCATCTGCCCTTTCACTAAAAATGTTTTGGAGATTGCCTCTCGCTTGTTACATCACCTGGTTGGCTGAGTTTTACTCAAATTCCGGGCCCATTTACCCAGATTGGTTCATGCCCATTTCCACAATACCACTGTATCTGCTAACCACAGGCTGACACAACAAGAGCCCATCCTTGTGAAATCAGAAGGAGAGAACAAAGCTCCACTCCTTGGTCTCAGGTTTGGGGCCTGAAATCTCAGGCAATGGGTTGCTATTCACTTGGCAGGCCAACTTTTTAGAGAAGGAATGAACAAAGTAGTAGAGATGACTGCTATGCAGAAAGAATGAGCTCAGAGAAGGAAATGGATCCATCAATCTTTGCATGCCATGTTTGGCTCACAATGCCACTTAATGTGTACCATGGGTCATCTATAACTGGAGAGACTTTGCAGGTCTTCCATTAAATTTGTAAAAGTCCGGTTACTTTTTTTAAATGAGGTCTGGAGGGGGAAAAATGGAGGTTGAAGGCAGAGGTCATGAGAGAAGAAGAGAGCCATGTAGATATTTCCTGTCTAACATTTGGACTTTATTCAGGTTCCATCCAGGCCTGCCCTGAAAGGTTCATTTATGTTTGCAAAAACGTCAGGTTATTTGATAAAACTTTGGAGCTGGAAATGAGAAGGCTTTCTCATCACTTTCAGCTGTGCTCATGTTAGCCCTTGGCAGTTATTTAGGAAGTGAAGTGTTGGACGGTTTCACAGCTGACTTATGTTTAATTTTGAAAGTAAAATCAAACATTTAGATACAAATGTGAAAAATTTAACAAGAAAAAATTACTTTCTGCCATGAACCTGTTGCTTTGCAATCCTTTGCTATCAGCATTTGCAATGGTGACAATCTTTTGCAATGTTCACCAATTATTTATTTTTCAAACAAATATAATTCATTAGATTGTATTTTTGGTATGGCTGCCACATGGTCTCCAAGGACGTTATCACACGGGGGAAATCCTGTGAGGAAACGGGGATTTAAACTGAAGATAACCTGCAAAAGTCGGTATATTTTCAGACGACGTCGCAGGTTAATCCGAACAGAAAGTAGTCAGAAACTGCTTCTTTTTATTTTTGGGGATCTTCCGAAAATAAAAAGAAGCAGTTTCTGCCTACTTTCCGTTCAGAGTAACCTCCTTTTAAATGCGCAGGAGGTTTTCACAGCCGGCTAATTAATTGCTTCCGCTTTTGCGGTAGCACTTTCACTTTAAAGCCGGCTTCAGGACTTAGGACTGTTGCTACCAAATCAGAACAGTGATAACGTCCCAACTATTCTGATTTGGTAGCAACAGTCCTAATTAATCCTTTGTCATTCAACTTTTTCAGCTGCTTTTCAAATGTCTCAGTTGCTCTCTCCTCCACCCACTTTCCTCCTTTGCCTTCAGCCCACTTCAGGTGTTGAAAACTCTGTTCAAAATGCTGAAGTAGTTGCACTCATTTAATGGGGAGAGAGGAGAGGAGGTGGTGGAATCTTGCCCTTCCCAGTAGGCTCACGCAAAAGCAAACTGCTGCAGCCTCTCCTAGCTTGTGTGTTCTTCCTTGTTTAATGATTATTGCCATCTTGAACACACTCTGATGTTGCTTGGCCACATGTGTCCCAGTTTTCATCTGTAAAATGTTGGAGTGTATAAGATTATGAGGGTTTGTCAACCTGATGCTCCTGGAAGGTTCCAAGAGCAAGAAAACTGGTTTTTGTGTGGTGATTTTTTTTTTCTTTGACCCTGGGGAATTGGAGCTGGAGTGTGGGCCACAGCAAAGGCCTTGGGGCCTCAGGTTGCACTTGGCCTACCCCTGCTGTATACACATGTACCGTGGTAAGGCTCTCTGATAGTTTGCAGCCAGTTAACTTAAGAAGAGAGGAAGGAAGAGTAGAGGGCAGAACACTTCCCATGAGGTTCAGGCGAAAGCAAACCACTGCAGCCTCTTTTAGCTTGTCTGCTCTTCCTCATTAATAACTTGCCATCTTGACCACACTCTGATGTTGCTTGGCCACACGTTTCCTGGTTTTCAGCTGTGAAATTTGGGAAGATATGCTGTTAATTGAGAAGCCAGTGTGATGTCATGGTCTGAGCATTGCACTATAACCCTGGAAACTAGGGTTTGAATCCCCACTTGTCCATGGAAACCTACTGGGTGACTTTGGGTCGGTCACACTCTTTCAGCTTCAAAGGAGGGCAAAGGCAAAAGCCCCTCTGAGCAAATCTTGCAAAACAACAACAACGACTTGATAAGGTCACCTTAAGGTTGCCATAAGTTGGAAACAACTTGAAGGCCCACAACAACAATGAACATATTAATCCATTTTAATATTTAAATGTTCAGTGTTTTTAACTTTATAAATTGTTTTAACAGTTTTTATATGTTTATATATGTCCTTTTTAATGCTTTTGTATTGTTTTTAATTTGTATTGCTTTTAAGTTTGTTATTAGTTGCCTTAAATCAGTAGCGCCACTGGGGAGGGGAGGGGAGAGGACCGCACCAGGTGACACCCCAGAAGAGGAAGGTGACACCCCACTGGCCCCTGCGGGTGCCACTCCAGGCCTCGGGGTGTGTGTGTGTGTCTCTGGCCTGTGTGGGTGGCTGTTTCCTTGGCGGCACAGCCATTTTCCCCAGCTGCGCGGCCACTTTCCAGGGCTGTGCAGCCATTTCTGTGGACTTTGGGGGCTCTCTGGGCCTCAGAAGAGGGGTCTCCAGCCCCAGTGTACAGCAAGCGGCTCTTTTCCAGGCTGCACTGCCATTTTCGCGCACCTTGGGGAGATCTCCAGACCTTGGGGGACAGGTCTCGGGCCCAGATGTGTGGTGGGTGACTCCTCCAACCCTCCTCGTTGCTGCCTGGCTTTTCCCTAAGGGAAAGCCAAGCCACAAGAAGAAGGACTGGGGCACACACACGTGCTTGCACACATGCTCATCAAGGCCAACTCTGTCATCACCCTTTCACTTTGGTCCCCACCCGCTCCACACCGGGTGACACCAAAGTTAGGTATGCCACTGCCTTAAGTTTTTACATTGGAAGAAAGGTTTGCGTAAATAAAATAAAATAAAAATTGTTGCTAGATGGTTAGCAAACACAGGGACAAAAACATGTTCCTTTAAAAAATATATATAGGAAAAGTTGTGATTCCAAAAAAACACAATTCTGTCTAGCACATTCCAGCACCTACATGTCATGAAAATAAATGAATCATTGTTGAGGCCCTAAGGAACTATTCTCGATAATATATATTGCCTCTTTTTCCCATTCTAGGAAGTCACTTGTGGTGCATTAAAAGAACAGAAAGAACATCAGCTGTGTCTTCAATAAACCTGCTGGGGAGGGGATATCAAGCTAAGAAGCACTATATTTCTATGAACAAGACAAATTAATCAGTGTTACAACACAGTTAAGACATCATAATGCTTGCAAGGAGGAATTGGCAGTCACTGATGAAATATGCTGTACCTTGTGAGGGGATGGATGGGAGTTTAATATTTTTCATAGATAGATAGACAGACAGACAAATAGGACCATCAATTCATAATGCCATTAAATAGGGAGAGAAGAAAAAACATACACTTTATGAGTCTGTTGATCTCCTCCTACTAATATCCTGCACCAATATTCTTTCCATGTAATGCTTATTTATCCTCTTTTTGTTAAAGCTGGGATTGTACCTGGCAAAGATCTAGGTATCTTTGTTTATCAGCTTAGAAGATGGCCTTGAGAACCAATTTTTAGTGCAAATCTGCTGCAGGCCAGTGCACTAACAGTGATCAGGCATACCGGAGAAAAATGGTAAACCAATATGGGATGCCAGTAGAAAATATCATGTGAAGTCTAATGCAAACACGGCTGATAAAGTGGTGCATAGCTCTGCCTAGCTGTAGCTGGTGCCTGACAGACCTTGAATGCTTTCCAGGATCATATAGAGTTCCTGCTTGGCCTTGAAACCCACTATGTGACTTTGGGAGAGTCATACTCTCTCAGCCTCAGAGGATGCCAATGGCAAATCTCTTCTGAAAAAAATCTTGCCAAGAAAATCCCATGATAGGGTCGCCATAAGTTGGAAATGACTTGAAGGAACACAACAACAAACAATAAGTGTGCATGACCTTGGTCCAAAGTGGGACCAGTGCATATGGGTGTGGGGACCTTACATATTTCTACAGCTTGTTTGCTTGTTTGTTTCAGAGTTTGTTTATTTCTACAGAGATACATATTTCTACAGCTTGTTTGTTTGTTTGTTTCAGATACCAGAAAGAACTCAATTGGTGTCAACAGAGGTGAGATTTTGAAAAGAACTAAGGGAGGATGTAGGGGAAATAATAATGTAAAAGAAACTACAAAGCTCATGGCTAATGTGGGGCTGGATTGGATGATCCTTGGGATCTCATATTCTATGTTTAAAAGTGTGCATTTGCAAAGCAATTGTAAAAGGCTTTTAGTTTTTGGCTTCACTAGAAAAGATAGCAAGGAATGTTGCTTTTGACTTTGAAGACAGGCAGACTGTTTCAGAGCCAAAGAGATAAGATTGATGGTATGAAGTGGGAGTAAAGTAAGGAAACTAAAAAGATAGGACACAATTAATGAGTCCAAGTGTTGATGAGTAATGCCAAAATAGTTCACGCATGGCAAGTAGAAGTT